CAGAACCGCACGAGGCCCAATAGATTTTTTTATAGGTTCAGATATCAGCAATAATAGCAGTAAAATGAGTAACAAATGATGATTGGCACCTCTTACCAGTAAAGTGAAACACATCAAATGTAATTCAAGTTCACTTTCTCTGAAAACGTTAGTGCGAAGAACAGTTAAACGGTAAAAAACCATAGTTACTGTTCATTAGTTATAGAAATTGGTAATCTGCTGCTCATCCTTCCCATTATCACTCCACGTTCATCAAGCAGCACCAACGAAGCCAAATCTAAAAATAACCAATGTTAGCCGACCCCAAGTTGGGCGGCAAAAACAACACAATATACCCAGATAGATTTCTTCGCCAACCACATCTTTCACGTTTTCATATCAATGCACCAGGTTACCTTAGCAAATTCTCCGAGATGGAACTTCAGTGGAAAACTAATCGACTTGACATTGTTGCCGCTACTGAAACCTAGCTGACCACCGACATTCTCGACTCGAAATTGGGTCTATCAGGAATGTTGCTGCTCAAACGTGATCATCCTACACGAGACGGTGGAGTGCTGCTTTATCATCGAAACAATCTACAGTGTGAACAGCTTGATATTCACGGCGCAGCCCCCGATTCGTTATGGTGTTCAGTAAGACTCTCCAAAAATGATAGATGTCTAATCGGTGTTGTGTACCGACTTCCCGCATCCTCAGACTCAGCCAACGAGATTTTGTTGCAAACCATGAGGAATGCGTTAGCACTAAAGTTCACACATGTCCTCATAATGAATGACTTTAACTGCCCCAATCTAATAAGATCGAGGACTTCTCGCCAGCCATTCGAGAAACAATTATCTGTTGATTGGATTGCACCCACTGTACAACCATGTAACAGAACCAACCAGATTTGGAGCAAGTCACGAACCATCAACACTGGATTTAGTGCTGACTAACGAGGAGCTGATGGTGGAATCTGTCAAGTTCACGTCTCCACTAGGATGTAGTGATCATGCCGTATTGATGTTTGGTTATATAGGCTGCGCATCTACTCAAAAAAACCGGAAGAGCAGTACTCGTGCTGCAAAACCTGGCAATAATTAAGCAGTGGGTCCTCCCAGAAGAGGATCACGATCCTTTGGTGGCATGGAAGAGCTTCACTGATCATCTTACCGAAATTGTAACGGCTGCAACAAGTATAAAAACTTGTGCTAAATCTAAAACT